CTAAAATTTTTCTCTTCATAAATCAAGGGTTAATTCATCTTTTATTAATAATATTATTATAAAATTAAAATTTAATCCAAATATTTAACCCCAAATATCATTTCTAATCCTATCTCTTCGCTCTCTCGGAGCTGACTGGCTCCTTTCTTTCTCGAAGCTCGTTGGCTTCCCTGCTCACGAGAGTCCCCCGCCGGTAAGCCAGCCTAGGCCATCGAGCTCCCACTTCAAAGGATCTAGCCTCCGCCCTTGGCTCAGATTATCAACCGCCCATCGCCTCTGGCCCAGGTCCCGGCTTCCAGTCTTGACCCGCCCCAAAATGATGGGTTAGTCGGAGGTCAACAGGCCGTGTAACCATTCTCACCGCTTCCGTCGCTTCCGGCTGTGCACGCATCGACGGAGTCCCAGATCTCCGTTTACATGCGGTTCCTCCAAAGTTCAATCTCATCTTTTTCTGGTGCTTTGCCACGGTGGAATAGCCTCTCACAACCCCCAGCAGCAGCCACCACCAGCAACATCTTCTACTGCCTAGGTCGAGCTGATTTTGGTGGTGGTGATTGTACCGTAGGTAGAGAATGTGGGAATTTAGATGTCTCAAGTGGGAGGAGATTGGTGGCGGAGGTGAGTTTGGTGGTGGTAGAGGTGAGTACATTTGTGGTGGTGGGGAAAAAACTAGTGGTGAAGGTGGAGTTGGTTTAGGAATGGTGGCTAAGATTTTGATGGTGGTGGTGGTGTTGGCAATAATGGTGCTGCCAATGGTGACGGGGTGAGGTAGCACGACATTTGATTGGTGTCGATGGTAGCTCTGTGGGTGGGGTAAATCTACAGTTGTGCTGATTTACATTTGGTACGAGAGACGATGATTTTAGGTGATGGTGGTGGTGATTTGACTCTAGAGTAGGAGGTGGCAGGGATGATTTGGGTCTTCTTGCCTTTTTTTATTGTAAAGGTGGTAGTGGTGGATTTTTGAGGTATGTTTGAAAGTGGAGGTGGAGGTGGCATAGTGACTGGTGGATAGTTCGAGTATTGTGTTTTCTAAAATTGCTTGTAGTGCATCTGTTGATGGTGTTAAGTAGGGTGCAGCCTGATATAAATTTCATTCTGGATTTGGAGAATGTATGACTAGGGTTGTAGGAAGCATTGAAGGTACAAAAGGTGCAGTTTCATTCGATGCCCTTGGTTATTTGTGGTGACCCCATGCGATCAAGTATATGTTTGATTGTGATCGATTGTGACCAATTTTGTGTTGATTGTGACCAATTTTGTGTTGATTGACCTAGTCACAAACAGTCACACTGAACATAAATTTGATTATAGATAGTCACATTGAATACAAACTTGATCACAATTAGTCACGGATGATATGTCAGTGAATGGGGGTGGTGGTAGGTGGATCCATGGGGTGGACGTGTGATTCCAATTTTTAATTTTCTGAAAATTTTAAAGTCATCGGAGCAATAGCCGGAGTGATCGTCGGAACCGAAGTGATAGCTGGAGCGACCGTCGGAGCCGATGGCTGTCTCCTGTAGAGAGATGGAAGGAGGGTGGTGTAGTGGGGTGATAGGATGGAGAAGGTGTGGTGGCATTCGTAGAAATAATTAATGTATATTATATTATATTTTAATATTTAATAAATTTATTTACCACTTGGTTTTTGAAATATTTTAATGAGTTTATTATTTATGAAATGTGATTTTTAAAACTAGGAGTTATGTATTGTTCTCAATGGAAAATGATACCAACAAGGGTTGGGCAAATTAACCGTCGAACCGTTCAAGTCAATTGAACTGACCCGACCCAATTCAGGTTGATTAGAGTCCAATTTTTTGCCACCAATAAATTTAGATCGGGCTGATGAAGTCATAATTACGTTGCTTGATTTAGGTTGCGAATTTTTCAATAGACTAGATTCAACCCAACCCATTGTAACAATTTTTTTTTTTAAGATTTAATTATTTAGCCCTCGTTTGATCTACATTATTATCTCATTAAAATGAAAATTATGACCGTTATCCATCACATCAACATTTAAATTCAAATTTTCTATCTCTTATGTGGACCCCAATAACGACTATATTTTTCATTCTCATTCTACATAGAAATCAAAACCCGACCCTAATTTCTTCTCTTTTCCTTTTCTATTAACGTATATCTTATATTGATGAATGGTTAAAAAAAAAATTACTATAATTTGGACCCAAGCCTAAATCTTCATAAGAAATGTAAATTATCCAACTCGATTCAACCCGACCCATGTCCACCTATAAGCACTAATGGACACTTGGGAAATATCTTGCAAGTAGCATTGATATGAAATATATATAGTTTTTTTTTTTTACTTTCTTCCGATCACACGTGTGGAGGTGGTTGTGATGGTCCACACTTCCATTGATCTCAAAATGTCCAAAAACCCCTCAATGTGGTATCGTCGACGTCTAATTTGGCCAAAGGGTGATGATGATAGTTTGGTTGTGACCATAGTGGTGGTGGTTGTGATGTCGATTTCATTGTGGAATTTTTTTCATTTTGACAGTGGTTCCATTGCGACAACAGTGGATGAACAAATCAACATGGTGGTGCGGTATACAGATTTGCGCGAGTAGTGGTGTGGTGTCGCTGGTGGTTGTGCTACATATCTGCATGGTTGGTGGTGTTGTGATGGTAAGACAGCGACAACGTTAGGATGGTGCCAATGGTGGTGGGATGAAGAGCAATTGTGATCAATTATATGAGTAATTGACCATTACAATAGATAATTTGTGACTAATAAATAATATTTGACCTAAAAAATCTGTGTGATATGCAACTAATTTTGTAAATGTGACTAACAATTTGTGTCTTTGTGACTTGTTACGAGTTTTATGTAACGTAAATTTATCGTAAGTGCACGGTGTCAAGTTTTGTAATCTATGAGCAAGTAAGGATGTCGAACCTATAAAGATTGATATTTAATTCCCACAAAGTACTATAATTGTTTCAGCCTTTATTTTATTTAGAAAATCCAAATTTAGAATCAATGTTTTTATATTAATCTAAAGATGGACGTGGTGGCAAATTCAACTAAATTAATGCAAGTTATGCAAGAGATTTATCAAAGTGAGGAAGCCTAGAGAATAATTTCACTGTAATATGTACAATGTTTCTCGAATTATATAACTACTTCTATCAATTTTCCCTAAATTTATAAGATATAACCTTAAATTAATTTTATTCCCTCTATCGAGTGCCGAATAGAACTTATCTCTATATTTTAATTCCATCGTCTCTGTTTCGAATTAAAATTTAGAAATTATCACGTTCGTAGTTCTTAAGTGGGACATACTTTAAAGATTACTTTCTTTCGAAACTTATAAAATCTAGGTTGTATTATTCTTAGATCACGCTTAAATTTTTCTCTCTCAAGTGTCGAAATTTAAAATATCAGATCATTCAATTATTGATCAGATAATTAAAAGTAATATGCAAGAATCAATACAAATAAACTCATGAAAAAACTAAAAGAAAAAAACTATATTAAGAGGGTGTTTGGTGAGGTTTAAATTAGATTTTTAACAAATTGTGATAGAAGTTTTTTAAATGTGTGGTTGAACAGTTTTGGAATTCATGAAAGATGTGGTTAATATTGATTGTTTGACTTTACTTGTATTAAAATTTGGTTTTAATCCGAAACAAATAGAGTCTAAAATCCAAACATGTCTCAAGTTAGGTTACATCATACCCTAGTTCTAGAATTTAGTTTATGAATAAAAGAAAAGGCGTAATCAATTCTAATATTAAGAACATGGAGACGAAAAGAATGAAAAATTGATTTGACGCTTCAATTCTCCTTCTTGACGTTGTCTGTCTTTCTCTAGATCAATCTCATGCCCCTTGTCTCTTGTGTCGTTGAATTCCCCTCTTCAAAGTGGTCTTTTGATTGGTATTTATGCCTTTTTTTAGTTCTGGATGGATGTGGCTTTTTTGGGCCAAGAAAAACAACCCTACAATTTAGAGAAAAGTTCATAAATCAGGTATTAACTTTAACACTTACAAAAATTAGGTGCTAAAGTTTAAAATTGCAAAAATCAGGTTTTTACTTTTTATTAATTAATTAAATATTTAATTGTACAATTTGGTCACAAATATCTTATTAATTAGTTAAAATAATTTTAGGTCATAGTTTATTAAAAAATTTATAGGTCACAATTTTTTATCGGTCACAGATTAAAAATNAATCAGGTGCTAAACTTTAAAATTGTAAAAATCAGGTTTCTACTTTTTATTAATTAATGAAATATTTAATTGTGTAATTTGATAACATATATCTTATTAATTAGTTAAAAATTAATTTTAGGTCACAGCTTATCAAAAAATTTATAGGTCACAATTTTTTTATCGGTTACAGATCAAAAATTTTGTAAGTCACAGATTATTTCGAAGTCACAAATCTAAAATTTTATATGTCACATATTATTTTATTGATCACAGATAAAAAAATTACAGGTCTCAGATTAATTTTTAGTCATAGATTATCGAATTTTAACGTCACAGTTAGTTCATTATGAAGTCACAGCTAGTCTAATCTGTAACACCGTTAGCACTTGCAACCACCAATTCAATGCCATCTCTAACAGCATCACCACCACCGTCACCGACAAAACCACTGCCACATTGGTTACAAATTTCAATCAACCAAATTTCAATCAACCAA